ACAGAACATCCTGTCCACATGGTCCACTAAGGACAGAACATCCTGTCAACAAGGGACAGAACATCCTGTTAACAAGGGACAGAACATCCTGTCCACGAGGGACAAAACATCCTGTCCACAAGGGACAGAACATCTTGTCAACAAGGGACAGAACATCCTGTCCACAAGGGACAGAACTTCCGGGACACCTCAGACCGCAGAGCTTCTCTGCTCATCTGTCTGTCTGGTGTGTCCACTTCTGTCCACAGGGTGGCGCTGTCCCGCTCCTCTGCACTAAGACCTGTCCACGTGACTGTTCTTCCTGCAGTTTGTTGACTGTAAACAATTTTTTATTGTTTTATTTACTCTTTATTTATCCAGGTAGTCTCACTGAGCCACGAGAACTCATTTTCAAGAGAGGCCTGTTTAGGAGCAGATGGGGGTTAAGGGCCTTGCTCATGGGCTCAGGGTGGGGCGAATGAGGGTGGGGGCAGGTGTAGGTGCTTCACCAACCCCACCCACATTTTTGATGTTGTCGGTACCGGGGCTTGAACTGACGATCTTCCGATCACAGGCCCACCTTCTCTAACCTCTGCGCCACCGCTCCCAAAATCTTGTTCTTGTGCGTTTCTTCTTCATGATAAATTACTTTAAATCGGTGAATAAAGGAACATGGTATTTATTGAGCTGCTTCCTCGTGCAGTCAGAATAAACTTTATGATCTTATTACACGCACACGCACACACACCCGGGCCTCACCCCCCCCCCAGCAGCTCTGATCTGGTTTCTTGGGTCTTGCAGGAGCACCTGATCTACATGCAGGCTCTGGACCAGAGGGCCCAGGAGACCAACATGGAGTTCTGGCTGAACCCCCACTGTCCCCCCCGCTGCGACAGGAACTACGGACACCCGGTCTGAGGAGGACCGGAGGTCTCAGGTCCGGTTCTGACCCCAACCCTCAGGTTTCTGCTCCTCCGTGCTCTCAGAAAATACAGAAAGTTAAGAGGAGAAATTAAATAACAATAAATACATTTTAAAAACTGCACAAAACAAGCAGAATGTCAACAGATGACGTTTGTTTATTTGTTTATTTGTTTGTGTTCTGAACGAATTCGTTTGATTTATTTTCGTTGCAGAAAACGAGCGGGACGGACTGAAGCAGAAACAACAAACCTTCAAAAACAAACAAACAAATAAATATATTCAAGCAACGAGTTTGTAGTTTATTTCTTTTAGCCATGTGGACCCGGGAATAAATCCTAAATAAAACATGTCGCATTTTGTAAAATGATTTATTATTTTAATAAAAACTCGTTTCTTCCACGGACGGCCTTTTGTCGTTTTTTAATTAAAATACAACCAGGAAACGTTTAAATAAATTTAAAAAACTGCAAGTGTGAATCAATAAAAAAAAATTGTAATAAAAATATATATTAATTCTGTACTTTTAGACTTGGCCTTTAATTTGATTAAAACAAACCTTTTATTTTTACATTTTGAAATAAATAAAACTGCTTGGTCTTTAAGTTTGAAGTCATGCGCGCCTTTAATTAAATAAATTACCCACAAGGCCGTGCGGTGTGCAGCTTTAAATCTTCACCTAAGACTTTTTAATCTAAACAGATAAATTAATTTAATCTGAAGACACTTGAAATGACCTGTCTTATAAAAACTTTAGTTTTTTAAGTTAGTACTGAGACCTAAACTGCTCCACAGCACTTTATTATAAAATGTTTTAAAGCTAAATAAAATCATTAAGTTTCTTTAAACTGAGACGAAAGAATAAAACCAGAGAAATTCAGAATGATTTATTGTGAAACGCTTCGTGTCGTTACAGCAAAGCTTCGGGAGAAAAATGCAAAATAACAGGATAAAATATGAACTTTTCAAAGTCACGTGTTGATTTTATTTTTTTTTATCTTCGAGATAAAACAGAACCAATCTGTCAGGACAATAAAATTATATGATTTAATACTTTTTTTTCTCCAACTCAAAGTGCTTCTCTTGCATTTTATATATTATTAGCCTTCTGAACAGAGCGGGTCCGCCTGGTCGAATCGGTAAAAATCCACAGAATTTTATATTCTTATTTGTTAAAATATGTTTAGTTCTAAAGGACAGTGAGATACGGGAACCTTTAGTTTGGTCAATACATTAAATAGATGTGAAACTTTATCATATTTACACATATGCACATCACAGAGCTCTTTTCCTTTATATTACATTAAAAAAAACAACAATTTGTTTCGTAATCGCAGGAAACGTGAACACATCATCTCTTGTCTTTGAAGAAGCCCTTGGAGGTGCTGCTCTCCTTGATGGTGACCGTCAGGAAGTTGGCCGTCACGTCCGTCACCAGGACCTGGTCCAGGTTGCTCAGACTCGGCCTCCAGGTCGCGTCGTCCGAGTCGTCGAGGAGCCGGGTCGGCGACGGCCTGTCCAGGAAGTACGGCTTCTCCGTGTGAGGGGGCGCGGCGGGTCGGCTCGGGCTCGTTTTGGTGCGGTGCTTGAAGTGCGCCGGCGCCACGCAGCCCGAGCCGCCCTTGGTCCCGTGCGTGTCCGATGCATACGGCTGCAGGCTGCGGTCGGAGTAAGGCCGTTTGTAGGACGGCTCCCGGCTCTGCGTGTGGTGATGATGATGATGGTAAAGATGGTGTTTGTGGTTCTCCGGGTGTCTGTGGGTCGCCTCCTCACCTCCCTGGAGTTTGTGAGAGCCGTGGCTCAGCTGCTCCTCCGTTCTCCTCTTGTGGGGCTCGGAGACGGAGGGGCTGCAGCTGCCGTCCGCCGGTCGGGGCTTCGGCCCCCTCTTCCTGGGCCCGTCTGAGTGAGCCTGCAGGTGGTCGTGCACGCTCAGCTCAGACGGACGCAGGCAGATGCTCTCTCCGCGGTTGACCGCGCTCGGGGGGAAGATGGTGGGAACGACGGCTCTCAGGCCTTCCCGGGCCCTGGGGGTGAGCACCGGCTCGGGGCTCGGGTACGTGATCCCTCGGACCGCCTCGTTCCTGAACTCATAGGACCTGGTTCTGACTTTAGCTTGGGCCTGAGAAGAAAAACGGGACAGAAATATTAAAAAAAAATAAAAAAAAGTGTCTTTCTTCTGCTTTACTATTATTTTACAGTCATTCCATCACAAACAAACAATATTAACAGAGTGGTTGTAAACAAATAATAAACACACGCCCCGAGGCCAGCAATTACCTGATAACACTCAAGTCTTAAACAGCTCAGAACAAATAGATGATTTTTGCTGAACAGAACCTCTGATGGATCAAAGCTACATTCACATTGTTTTATTTCTGAATTTAAAATGTTTACTATAAAAAATTAAATAAACAACAAGGACAACAGCTGCAGCATTTAAGTCGTCACGAAATGAGCAGCATCTTCATTATTTTTTTTAATTGGCATAAAACGTTCAAGAAACATCCTTTAATGACTGATCAAAACTTTTATCAGCTTTTTCAGCGGTGAGAATAAATAATAAACCTTTTTCCACCCCAAAGTATGAGTTTGATACTTTTTTTAACGATGGGAAATCATGTTGTTTTTTGGTATAAATAGTTAAAAATACACTCTAACTGTCTGTGAGGTGGTTTAAAATATTCAAATGTTGGAGCAAAAGCTCAAAATGAAGCCACGGCTACAAACAGGAAGTAAACTACACGGCAAATGGAACTCTGGGTAACTTTCCTGCACGACATCAACGCAGGTTCCCTGGAAACCAATAAATACAAACTGGTTTTAGGGGATGGCCCTGCTGGGTTGGGAGAAAAATGTGCAGCTGAGTCATCACTGATAGCAACAATCCAGCAGCAGCTTCAGCATTCAAAACAAACACAACCTTATTTGCAAGTAAACAAGTCGACTGCACGCTCTAGTTGTCGGGGCTTTTTCCAGCCAGCTTCAAACTACAAAAGATCAAATGATCCCTGAGAGTAGAGACTTAGTTTAGCATGAACTGTTCACGTTAAAAGAAATTAAAAATAACAGTGAACTTTTACACCATACCTCTACAATTCAAGGGTGATTTCAGAGTATCATTAAAATTAGAGGGTTCTATGAGCCTTTTCAAAAGTTGAACGTTTTAAAAACCGCTCCCAGTCCAGCACGAAGGACTGATTTAATCATGGATTTTTTTTTTTTCCCCAACTCTCAAGGAGCTCCAATAAGTTCTCCTGACTCCTAAAACTGGGCAGCATCACGTTTAAACGAATATTTTACGATGTACTCACCTCTGCACACGTTATTATTTAACAAGATACTAAAATACATAGATAGGTTTACAGGTTGTAACAATTAAAACCGTTCCAATTTGTTTACTAACGTTTTGAATGTGACACGAGGCAGTTTTTATTGAAAACAATGCAACTTTATTAAAAAAAAACTACGTTAAGTGTACATAACAGATGTGTTTATTTTTAAGAGCACTCAATTATTTAGTTGCTTTTTAGGTTTCTCCAAAGCATTTCATAAAGTCTGGAGAGACGCACTTGGGTGCATATTAATAAAAATGTGCACGAGTGGAGCAAATAAAGGTTTATTTACCTTCAGCAGAAAGGTTTTGGGTTTCGGTCCCCTCTTTTTGGGCCCGTAGAGCTCTCGTTCTCGCTCCCTGTGGGAAACAGACATTAAAGAAGCGTCTCACGGGAGCAAAGTGCGCGGAGGACAGCGCGCACTTCGTGGACATGTCCTCTCCGTGCGTCCTGCTCAGACGTCTTACCTCTGCTCGAAAGCGACAAACAAGCGGGAGTCCAAAATGTTCTCCTCCGGCTCCCAAGTGCTGTATCTGCGGACAAACACTCACGTCAGCCCGACGGCAGCGGCGTTAGCCTGCGAGCTAAAACTCTTCGAAAATAACAACAAGACATTCAAAACGTCGCGTGCCGGTTTTAGTCCTGCTAGCTTCGGGAAGCTAACACCCGAGCTAAACACCGGAGAGATGCGGGTTCAAAACCCGTCAGAGACACAATGTTGACGCACTTACTTTGGCGACCATCCCTTCCATTTCACAAGGTACTCGATCCGACCCTGCGTGCCATCAGAAACAAACACAAACGACCTGCTTTAGCATGCGGGGTAACAGTGTTACAGTACACCGGTGTTGCATTGTATTCCGCTCCCTGGAGAAAGGGAGCACGCGCCATCTCCCGCCTACCTTCCTTATCCTCCGTTTGATGATTGACTCGGCGGCGAACACTCTCTCCCCGACGGCGGACAGCTCCATGTTTACTCCAGTGCTACCTACCGTTAGCTAACTGGGTGCTGCTACAGCAGCTATCACCCCCTGTCCTCCCCCCTCCTTCCAGTCCCAGCCACTCTAAATTCCCAACAGACCATAATACTCCCGAACAAGAATGGACGTCAGCGCAGTTTTTTTGCGTCGTTGCTAAGGAACTGCAGTCGGTGGAACCAGAAGGAGAGCTCCCATTGGTCGAGCCGTTGCTACGTGCTCGGGTTTCTAAGTGAAGAGGGCGGAGCCTCCGCCCTGGCGGATTCTTTCAGGGCTAAAATGGTGGCCTTTCTCTCTTCTTTTTTTTTTTTTTTTTTTATAGCCACGCTGCTGAATCATTTCGCGGAATTTATGTGATGTGGAGAGAATCTCACGTGGTATCAAAGTAAAGTGACAACGCGGACGGTTATAGCAGCGTCATCCCTCAAACACGCGATCAACCTGTCGATTTATAAAAACAACAGAAAGACATAATAGCGTAGAACTGTTATAATAAACTTATTATTAACAACACCGATTAAATGAGTCAGTATGAATTGGAAAATTATGTTACAGCTTAAAATAAAGGCACTTTTTTTTTTCCAGGTAGGCCTAAACACTTGCTGTTCTTCTCGCAACACTAAATGCTCTTTATGTGAAAGTTGCATAATTATCTGAATTATTCACAGGCGCGCCCTTGTAAAGATATTTAAAACATTCATCTTCAACAGATGAGAGGAACAAATGAGATAACTTAAAAAAAATATTACAAGGTGAAACAGGTCCGTCTTTAGCATTTATGAAATGTTCATGACGTTTTAGTACTAAATAAATAAAACAGTGATGAGATGTGACATAACGTTTTTATGCTACATTATATTCTAGGTTACATGTTTCACTAGTTAGAGTACAAACTAATAATAACTTTTAAAACATACAAAAAATGTTTTTTCGGGTTAAACCAGAACAATAAATTCGTGATAAAAGTGCAGGCATTTTTTGAAGACTTCCTTCAAAATAAACTGCGCAAATAATAATAATAATAAAGGCTTAAAATATAAATAAAACCAGAAAAATAACCAAATAAAGATTATGTTGGTAGGCTGAGTTTTAATTAAACCTTCAATTTTTTTTACAGCCAGATTTAAGACAGTTTGTTTATTTTTTAAAAAAAATTATAATTATTATTTATATTTAATTTAAGGATTACAGTAGCGTTTCTGAAAATAAAGAAAAACAATCAATAAATAAATAAAAGTCCTGATTTAAAGAAAAAAAATGTGATGGACAAAAACAATGACCAAATGAAATAAACAGCTGGGACTCTGAGATTGTTTCAGGACATAAATCAGTTTTAACTCAGAACAAAATAAATTCATATCATGACAAGACAGCACGCAGCTTTAAATTAATTTATGACTAAAACTGATTCAAACAGATTTGGAAACTTGAATGAATGTTGAAATATTTGGAGACTTTGGCCGCTCTCTGTCTCATGTGAGTAATAAAAATAAAATAATAATAAAAAAGCTCAAATAAATCAGAGTTTCTATGAGGTGGTCAGGATATAGTTGCAGATGAAATCTAAACAAACGTTTATAATTTTAAAACTAAAGCAGAAAATCTGACGGAATGGAAATTATCTGCGTCCTTTAAACATTTAAGTCACATTTATTGATTTTAAATTAACTCTTTTGGAGGCAAATCTCATTTAATTAAATGGAGGTGATTTAACACAACCCAAGCTGCTGATTCGACTCAATCTAATCCTATAATTTCTGTTGTTTTTTTAATTTCCTCCCAATCAGCTGATCATCAGTTAAAAGTCCTGCGCTTTAATGTTTCTCTTTCCTTGATAAAGACTCCAATTAAACACCAGCGCGCGCCATCAGATCACTGAAAAACACCAATAATCGATCAGTTCTGGTGACTGATCAGAACCGAACACGCAAATTTCTGGTGGATCTGTCACCTCGTGGAAAAAAAAAAACCCGCACCAGAGTAGCTTGCAGTCGCGCGCTCTCCCCTCTGACGCCTCCATTTTTATTTGCATGCTCGGATCTTTTCTCTTTTTATCTTATTCCCATTTTTGTGCAGATGTTCTGTGAATCTGGGCGCAGCTCACACCGCGGCTGCCATTGGTCTGCGCGCGCCTGCACTGCAGCACCGCTGCCGCGTCCCATCCATTGGCTGCCTTGTATCCGGGCAAGACGCGCGCGGGATTTCCTGCGCGCGCAAACCAAGAAACCCCCAGTAACGACGCACGGACACGCACAGAGCTAGATTTATAGAGCGAGAAACAAAGAGCGCTCCGTGGTTAAATGATGCCACGGTGTTGGATATTTTCAGGGCGGGGGCGCGGAGGGACTCAATTAACCTTGAGCCATAAATATATATATATATAAATCTTCAAAGAACATTAAAGATGCTCGTTATCTCTTAGCTGGAGTTGGAGTTGGAGCTCAAAAAACGACGGAGTTAGTATATTTTGTATTCGCTGTGGTTCATTACGCATGCGCAGTGATTTCCAAGACGCGTCTTCTTCCACCTGCAGACACTCAGCTCAGGTTCCTAGTGTTCCGAGTCTCTTGTTAATGGCACTGAGTGTGCTCCGCGTCAGGCCCTTCTCCAACAGATGAGGTTTTAAATGACAACATCCTTCCCCACTAAATGCTCATTTTCTCTGTACCACACTGAAAGTGGCTGTTAATCTGTGTCTGCTCCGCTGTACAAAATAATCAAACAAACCAGGGGCCCATCTGAGGCGTGAGTCGGATTTTTTTTTTGTTGCAAAATATTTAAAACACTTTTCTTTCAGAAGAACTGACGCGTTTACCAAGCAACAAACCGGAAGGAGTCTTTATTAACTGGATAATTCGGACAGCTGGTTTAATTTGACAAATTCGGAAATCATTCACAGCTGCGTTTTGCTGTGAGCCTTTTTATTAACAAAGTGCTCAGAGGAGACAGAGGACAGCCATTTTCTCTCTCGTTGCTCCACCGACGCGCGCACGCAGAAAATGGTCTCCCTCATCCTGACTGTCGCATCTCTCCGCTTCTCCCCACAATTTAAGCTTCGTTATAATCTGCAGCTCCAAGCGCGTGTGCAATCACGCGCGCACTGGGGGGTGTTTGGGAGGAAGTTGCGCGCCTCCCGAGCGACCTTTGTTGTGCACAGATGCGGCGCAGGGCTCCGTTTGTGCACGAGTCAAACTGGGAATAAGATGCATCATTTAGGCAGAACCGGATCAGACCACAGATCCAGAATAATCCACCACCTCCTGAAACTGATTTGTTGTATAAACTTCACGTGCAGCAAATAAACGAGCTCCAATCTGCTCTGGAACCAAATTGAAAAGAGTTGTTTTACTGCAGATGGAGGCGTGTGCATGATGTGAGCCAGGTTGGGTTTTGGCACCAGGTGGGTTCTGTTCATGTGTCCAGCAGAGAAAGCGACATAATTTAAAAGTATGTTAAAAAATTTAAATTCAACATTGTTTGTCAAAGGTTTAACTGTGAATTGATTGCAACTGTAAAAAAAAAAAAAAAAAAAATCAAGTTGTGTTGTTTTAAGTAATGTTTGTATTTTGCATAAATAAATGACCTGAATGCATGAAATTATGTCTAAAATTAAACACTGCGTGCAACAGTAAACTCCAATAAGCTCCCCAGCTGCAACATCTGGCCCATCTTTGCCAAAATCATCTCTAGATGATGAGGCCAACAACCTGCTTGGAGTCTGTACCTCATCCCCTTCAGCTTTAATCAAAATAAAGTTCTAGATTAACTTTAAGCAATGCCTGATCTAATATATTATTAATATAGCATATAAAATAAGTCATATAAATGCAGACACATTTGTTTTCACAATATTGTTCAAATGAAATAAAATGACAGAACACTGAAAAACCTCAAAACAAAAAAAAAACCAAGTAGTAATCAGTTATTGTTTTTAAATTTTGGTTCAAAAGTATATTTTTTAAATAAACTAATAAAACTGACATTAAAAAATGTGGTGAAATATCTGACCATGGACACATTCATGTTATCTGCATCTCAGGTGTAATACAGTGTTGAGCGTATATCTTATATATTGTTTCATTTTATACTTTATAATTTTTGCTATTTTTGGGTGTAACTGAGACGTTGAGTACACAATTTCATTCCACCTCATGTGAATGACAATAAACTTGACTTGAACTTGTCCGTCTGTAATCAGTCTGCATATTTAAAGGGTGACAGGTAGTCACAGGGCTGTTTGGTATCACAGTGTGTAACACACTGAACGTGGACCACAGGACGCTGAGGACAGAGTGTCTCAGGAGACGAGAAAGACAACTGACTTCCTGTTAAAGTTAAGGACTAAAAGACCATCTCCATCAGCTTGATGTTCCTCTGACTGCAGCTGCACAGAGTATTCAGAGGTTTAAGGTCCACAGGACTGGAGACAACCTCCCTGGACGTGTCCACAAGAAGACAGCTGTTCACAAACTGAAGAGACGATAAAATGAATGGCAACCAAAGAGCCCAGAAACATTTCCAGAAAGATTAGACGTGAAGTTCAAGGTCAAAACGAAGGAGATGACAGTGGACTTCAGGAAACAGCGTGGAGGACAGCACTCCAACATCTACATAAACAATGCTGAGGTGGAGCAGCTTCAAGTTCCTCTGCGTTCACTGAGGATTTGTCCTGGACGTTACTTTGTACATACAGACACTGTGGTCAAGAAAGCCTGACAAAGACTCTACTTCCTAAGAATAAAGAAGTTTGGTATGAGCACCAGCATCTTCACTAACTTCTGTAGGTGCACCATTGAGAGCCTGCTGGCAGGCTGCATCACAGGGTGGTATGGGAACTGCACCAGTCAGAGCTGGAAAGCTCTACAGAGGGTGGTGCAAACAGCAGAGGACATCACTGGTAGCTGTCTCCACACCATCCATCTACCACAGCCGATGTCTGCGTAAAGCACGCGGCATCATTAAGGACCACACCCACCCAGCACAAGGACACTTCCATCTACTACCCTCACGCAGACGATACATGAGTCTGCCATCACACACAAAAAGGCTTAAGGACAGCTATCACCCACAAGCTGTCAGATGACTGAACTCTGGATAAATAACACTGAACAACTGGCAATAACTTTGCACCAAGCCACATCTGCGACAACTAATATGACTAATAGCTTGTGACAAATTTGTTTCTTGCTGCTGCACTATGTGGCTATATCATGCATGATACAGTATGTAACTACCTTACCATCACAATTCTCTCTTAAAACTCACTACCTGTGCAATAACCTGTGTATTTATGTTAGTTATGTGCAATACAGTATATATCATGTGTATTTTAGCTTATATTACCACCTTGAAATACTTAGTCATACAAATTCATCCTGCACCATTTTATTCTTTGTTGTTGTTTACAGTTTCGCTTTAGGACCGCGTAAATATTATAATTACTTTTTCACTTTTTGTACCTTTATTTTGTACCTTTATTGCATGCTTTAGTATTTTCTTGTTTCTTTGTTCTTTGTTTTTAGCGAGTCAAACTGGTTCATCTCATCCTGAACATGTCATTGGACTGTTGACCTTGTGTTAACCTGCATTAAGACAATTAAACACAACTTGAACTTGAACAACCTACATTGGTGTCAGATCACACCATCGGTCACTGGTAGAGACAAAGTGGACTTAATGAAAGATGGCTGAGCAGGACAACAAATCATGAAAAACTCTGACTGAACAACAAAGCATTTAAAAAAGCCACAATTTTGGAGAAAAGAACCCAGTACAGTGAGGTCCGGTGGACAGATGGACCAGAGCACCTGTGGAAAGATAGACTAGAACACCTGTGGACAGATGGACCAGAACACCTGTGGACAGATGGATCAGAACACCTGTGGAAAGATAGACTAGAACACCTGTGGACAGATGGATCAGAACACCTGTGGACAGATGGATCAGAACACCTGTGGACAGATGGATCAGAACACCTGTGGACAGATGGACCAGAACACCTGTGGATAGATGGACCAGAACACCTGTGGACAGGTGGCCCAGAACACATTTGGACAGGTGGACTAGAACACCTGTGGAAAGACAGACCTGAACACTTGTGGGCAGATGGATCAGAACACCTATGGACAAATTGACCAGAACACATGCGGACAGATGGACCAGAACACCTGTGGACAGATGGACCAGAACACCTCTGGACAGGTGGACCAGAACACCTCTGGACAGGTGGACCAGAACATCTGTGGACAGATGGATCAGAACACCTGTGGACAGATGGACCAGAACACCTCTGGACAGGTGGACCTAAACACCTGTGGACAGATGGATGAGAACACCTGTGGACAGATGGACTAGAACACCTGTGGACAGATGGACCAGAACACCTGTAGACAGATGGA